AGAGGGAGAGGGAGAGGGAGAGGGAGAGGGAGAGAGGCCAGAGGTCACCCTTATGCCAATCCTGGCTGCGACTGTAGCTCAGTGGTAGAACACTCACCTCACGTGACTGAGATGCTAGGTTCAATCACCACTACTGTTAAAAAAAAAAAGTGCCATTCCTCAGGAGCCATCCACTTTGTTTTCTAAGTCACTCACTGGAACCCAGGGCTTGCTGAATAAACCAGTCTGGCTACCCAGCAAGCCCCAGGAATCTACCTGTCTCCCCTTCCCTAGTGCTGGGATTACAAGTACACAGCATCACATCCAGCTTTATTTTATTAAAACTTTATTTTTATTTTATGTGTATGAGTATTTTGTATGTAAGTACACTGTATGTGTGCCAGATTCCCATGGAGGCCAGAGAGGGAATTGGATGCCCTGGAACTGAAGGTAAAGATGGGTGTTAGTCACCAAGTAGGTGCTGAGAACCAAACCGAGGTCCTTGGCGAGAGCAGTAAGTGATCTTATCCACAGAACCATCTCCCCAGCCCCGACACTCAGCTTTTTAGTGGGGCTCTGGGCAACAAACTCGGGTCCTTATACTCTAAAGGCAAGCACTAAGTCATCTCCTCAGACCCCAATTAAGTTTGGGGAAAAGGGCAATCCATTACATTGCTTTCAACACGGAAAGACACCACCTAGGAGTATCCAGACCCTAAAGACAATTATCAGCCCACAGTTGTCAAATTTCCCTCCCCTTCTAAAGTCATCACTGGGTGGCAACAAGGATTGAAATGAGATCATCAACAAAAGTCCCAAAAGCAACAAAGGAAAAATTAACCTCCAAGCAGCACCAAATCATCGTTCCTTTTTCTTCCAATCTTTTTTATGGGGGGCTGGTGATAACTAGGGATTGAACCCAGGGCCTGTGGATGCCAAGCAGGTGTTCCACCAGTGAGCAATAGTCCCAACCCCTCAAATCAAGCTACTGTAATGCCCTTAGTTACTGAATTTTTCATAACTCACTTTTTATGAAACATAAAACTGCATTCAACAGTTTAAATTTTATATATATATATATATGTAGTCTTTTTTTTTGAGACAGGGTCTCCCTGTAGCCCCAGGTGTCCTGGAACTCACTATGTAGACCATGCTGGCCTTGAACTCAGAGATCCGCCTGCCTCTGTCTCCCGAGCTCTGGGATTAAAGGCGAGTGCTAGGATTAAAGGCGTGAGCCACCACCCCCAGATTAAATTATATTTTTTAAATCTAAATTTACAAGTAGTAAATATTCCACTCCTTGCCTCTTCAATCCAACAAAGAAAGGAACTTGTCTTTGGACATATGAATACTTTTTTTCTTCTTTTTACAATTAATAATGCTGAATAATTTATTATATTTACGTGAGTTACATAAATCCCTT